TTATCCTCCCCGCGACCGGAGCAGGCGCAGCAGGCGCCTGCGGATAACGATGAGCAGATGCGGGAACTGGAAGCTGGCCCTGCCACGGAGAGACCTGCTACTCGCACAAGGCCTATGAGTGGCAGTCCCCAGCCCCCCCGCGCTGACACGCACAGCAAGATGCACCGCGAGGCTCTCGAGCACGCCCTCCGCATGCATTACTTGGAGGATGAAAGCCGGGGTCGGGCGCAGGGTCCCGGCAATGGTGTCTCTATGGGCCATGCATGGGCCACACATGGGCCATGCATGGGCGATACATGGCGGGGGAATCAAGTGAAGCTCCCCGCCTTCACCAATGCGCAACACTTGATGGCAAACGAAGCAAGAAGGCGGGGGCCTCGGGAAAGGCGACGAAGACGACGCGCGCTGAGGGCGCAAACAGAAAACGTTTGGAATGAACGAAAGCGGTGGGGTGAGTGTCAAAATCTGCCCAGCCAATCTGACATGCGGAGCACTGTGCCTCAGTTTTGGGGATCTTGAGGGTCAGGGCAAGATGTGAATTCAAATTGTGGGAAAAGCAAATGTGCAAACACATTTTGGGAAGAAGGAAAATGCGAATTCAAAGTTCGGAAAAATATGAATTCACCTTTTGGAACGTTGTATAGGAATCTTTCTGAAGGGGGCCAACATGTGAATTCACTGCTTGGGAGAGAATTGATTCACGTTTGGGAAAAACGAAACATGTGAATTCACATGCTGTTGCAGACCCCTTCTTTCACCCTCCAAATTACCCCCCTCACCCCGCCCCAGGCGGCACGGCGCCCGGCCAGGCCGACCCTGGGCACGTGCATTCTGCCGGTTCGCTGGCCGTGCGGCAGTCTTGCCATTGCAGACCGCCTCTTTACTCCAGACTTCGTAATAAAGGGAGGGGGGTCTCATTTCGGGGGGGGGTCTCTCAGAGGGCCTGGGGGGTCTGGGGACGATGTTTTGGAGGGTTCTCCCACGGGGGAGGTCTGAAATGGCTTGTCTTGGAGGGTCCAGACCCCCCTCACTATTATTACGAAATCTGGAATACTGCTTGGACCCTCCAGGACGCTGACCTTCCGGTCAGACACGGCGATATGGATGCCGTCCTCGTTCCAGCCGCTCGCCCTGCACTACGCGGCCCCTCGAAGCGCTGCCACAAAACGAGCGGAGAGGTGCCACCTCGGTGGTCGGCCGCCAAGGCGACGACAGAGGCGTCGACCGCAGGCCCAACCTCGACAGAGACAGCTCCTGCCCTCTCGAGGGGGGTGACATCTCGCGGGGGCGCCTCCTGGGCAGGCTCCTCGAGGTCGGTGCGCCTGGCCTCGTGCGCCTCCCCTTGGCTTTGATGCCGCTCCTGCCCGGGCTCGCGGCCGCGCAAGGAGCGCGCCCAGAGTGCCAGACTTCCACGTGCGCAGCGAAGAAGAAGAACTCGCCGCCATCGGGGAGCGGCCCCTTCAGCCCCCTCCCCGCACCCTGCTGGAAGGAGGCTATGTTACCCCTGCCGACGCCTGCTGGACATGCGGATCATGGGTTCTGCGCGAGCCCTCCCCTGGAATATGCAGCTCCTGCCAACGACTCAGGTGCCCTTTAGGACTTGCCGCTGGACGCGACCCAGGCCTGTCGGACAGCACGTCAGATGGCTGCGACATCATTTAAGCATTTTCTTGGGGTGGAGGGCTCAGGGTAAAATCTAAGCATTTTCTTAGGTGTGGGCTTTTGCACCTCGAAAACCAATCCCTCTTGTGATTCAGCTTTTCCAGATTCAAGCCTCCACCGAAATAGCATTTCAGATTTCACCCTTTGCCCTCCACCCAAGGAAAATGCTCGGCTCATTAGAGCTCCCGCACATGTCATCGACGAGCTCGGGGATGACTTGCTTCGGTACGCACCTTCTGGACACCATGGCCCCGCCAACTACGACGTGACCAGGCTTCTCGCAGAGTTTTTGAGGGCCTGGAGGACTGTGCCATTGGGCCCGCGCACCCCCCTCCATGCGGGGCAGCCTGGGCAGCCCAGCCCGGCCGACTCGCTCGCCAGACTTGGAGGGCTCGACAGCGAAACCGCTGCAGAGCGCGCCTTGCAGCCGCACCCCAGCTCGCGGAGTGGCTCCCAAGCGCCTTCCGCGCCAGGGAACCCTACTCTCCTCCTACGCCCCCGGACTGCTCTGCCATAGATGATGGCTCCCTCCCAGCCGAGGGCGAGCTGGAGTGCATGGGCCTGGCCCGCTTCGAAGTACTATGGTTGCAGCACTACGGCCGCATCGCTGTCTACGTAGACCCCCTCCCGACCTCTCCTGGACCGCACCGCAGCCCGGCAAGCCAAGCCCCCTCTGCCGACCGAGCCGCCGCTTTGGAAGCCTTTGATGGGCTGGCCACCTTAGCAAGAGACCTCCCAGCTATCTAGGCGACTAACCCTAGGAGACCCTGTTGGCGATGCAGTACTGGACATGCTGCGAAAATGGGACCTCCACAGCCTACTGCCCCCGAGACGACATCCCCCCAGCAGAAATCCAACCTCCCAGCTCGGCGACCACGCCCAGGGCAACGGTCCTCGTCAGTCCGCAGCAGACACAGCCCCCCAGGCTTTCGGCGACCACCATGCCTAACTTGACCCCACCAGGCCCCCCGATTCGCCTCCCGGAGGCTCGGCATCAAACATTGTACGACGATATCAGGCGCATTCGATACGCCAGAGCCTCCCGCAACCCTGACCCCCCCCCCCTGCCTAAGTCGAGTACGAGACCCTCTCGTGTGGGAGTCCGCCTCCGATGAAGGCAGGCGCACATCGGCGCGCGCCCTGCGCGCCTCCGAGGGCTCGGCCGACATCATCAGCGCCCTTGCGGCATGGAAGACCGATCGTGGAGTACGCTCGACCGGGCAGGCCACAGACGCGCTCAGGAACCTGACCAACGAGATTTCCATTGCGATCTCTGCGCAACTCGGCCGCCTCTGTCAGACACCAGCGCCGTCCGCGCTTGCAGCGCTGCACCCAATAGTGCAGCAGCGTGCGCTCAGCGGGGTGGACCATGGGCAGACGTATGCTCTGGAGGGCAACCGCAGCAGCAGCCCAGCCCAGACTACACCAGCAACCCCCACAGAAACAGCACGGTGAACGAAACGTGACTTGTCCGCAGACGGGTCCATGCTCAGACATTGGCTCCCGGCCACGCGTGGAGCCAAATGCTGGCTCCCTTCATGTCGGGCACGGCGCCCCCTGCCGCTCGCGCACAGATCACACACGCCCCCGGAAGGCAACCAGGCGGACCTGCACGGGTGCCGCGCCCTGGCTCGACGGTGGGACGAACGCGCTGCGCCCGCGACACGGGATGCCATGGAGTTTCTGGCAAGGGCGGCGAGGCAAGCCGCCGACGCCGCGAGAGTTCGCGTCTCTCCCCCCCCCTCGGCCAACAATCACATTCAGGCCGAACTCCAGGAGTGGATCATGCAGGCCGCCGACCCAGAGGGTCCTCTGCGAGCAGCCATTCTCCTGGGAGGCCAGGGGCTCCCCCCCACCGGGTGCCCCCGCCGCAGGTTCCTGGACGCTCCGCCTGGAAGCGCGACCGACGCCCTGGCGTCACAGGGAGGCGCAGAAAGTTGCGCCGGGGCCCCCAGACCTGTACGCCGAAGCGGACGCCCCGGAGGCAGACAGCCCCCAGCACGCAACACGCAACACTTCTTGGTCGGCGGGGCGAGAGCGAACCTCTTCCGGTAAAAGCTGGGCGGGCTACGCACAGCGCTACTTGGGGAGACAGGGCACAGGCGGGCGGGGGGCCTCAGGCGGCCGGAGACGCAACACGCAACACGCAGCGAAGTGACACGGAGCTCCACACGCAGACTGGAAGCGTAGGTCCGACGCGATACGTCCGCCAAAAAACGTGGGCCAACACGTCGAGCCAGCGCGCAACGTTTTGACACCGGACGCCTTGAGCGCGGCACGCGTTGCGTCGCCCAACGAGCGCACCCGTACCTCTACCCTTCACCCGTTTTCCCTTCGGTCGGAGGAGGAAGAGCTACCCCAGACATGATCGCGTCGTTACAAAAATCCGGACGAAAGGTTTTGGCAATTTTCGGCCCCAGGGAGCCCTCGTCAAAAGACGGCTCGGGACGAAAGACCGGTCCGGGGGAAAGGGTCGGGACTTCCGGGGACGCCGTCCTGAAAAAACCAGAACGCCGCATGTCCTGGCACCGAGACGTCTGGAGCGCCAGAGAGGGGGGTGGCCTCGCGCAGGTCACACTGCCGACGCCGAGGCCAGACCGACCCGTGAGGGCCCTGGGGGCCGAAGCGGGGCGAGCATTTTTTTGGTCGGCGGGGCGAGGGCGAACCTCTTCCGCCAAAAGCTGGGCGGGGGCCACGCACAGCTCTATAATCGGGGAGACAGGGCAGAGACGGGCGGGGCCTCCACGCTGGGCGAGCACGCTCCGTGCGCAAGAGCAGGTGCGGCGCCCGACGGCACGCACGAGCGGGAGGTCCCCCCTGCTCGTGCCGCCGACGCTGCGCGTTCCTAGAGAGGCCCGATCTGAGTGGCCCAGCGCTGGTGATAATTGAAGGGGCCCCAGGACACACAAATAAATACACACGAATCTAAATATTTTCCCATATTTCCTGGGTTTCTGTCTTCCCCCCCACTGCCCATATTTTCCTATATTTTCTGGGCAACCGAAAATGAGTTGTGTCTGTGTGTTTCTTTCCCCCCTGAATAATGTAAACATCGGTTCGCGCACTGATGCGAACGTTGCAGGCGCCATCGAGCATTGCAGGATCTACGCTGCCTGCAGGCTTTCAGAAGAACCCGAGGAAGCCAGGAGTCTTCGCCCACGCCCAGGGACACACGAACAAATGCACACAAATCCCAGGATTACCCATATGCTCCCTAGCTCCTGGATGTGCGTCTTCCCCTCCACTTCCCATATTCCCATACGTTCACTTGCACCGACGTGTATTTGTGTCGGTGTGCTTCTCCTCCTCCCACTGCTGCATGGCAAGAAAAGCGGCAGGCGCCGTGGACGGCACCCGCAGCGAGGCGGGCCGCAGGAGTCGCCCGCGCGCGCGCCGGCCTGAGCACGCGTGGGGAAGGGACACCCTGCGCGCAGATCCGCGCGAAGATCCGCCAGTGGAGCGCCCTCTGCGCAGACGGCACCACCGGCGGAGGCGGCCCGAGCAGGATCTCGGCAGCGGGGGCCATCGACGGGGCGGCGGGAGCGGACGTCGGCGACGGCAGCGGCCAGGCGGACCGCATCGGCGGCCCCGCGCGCGCGGCTCGGCGGAGGGCCCTCCCACCTCAGGGCGCCGCGGGCGCGCCCGACTCTGCGGGCGATGCCCGAGCCACGGGGACGCGCGCGAGGCTCCGCCTCGACCCTCCCTCCGCGCAGTCCCCATAGGCCCCCAGAGGTCCGCATAGGCCCCTGGAGGTCCAGACGGTCCCGGGGCCTGCCAGACGCCGATGACGGCGAGAAGCCCTCTGCCTTGATTCTGTTCAAGACGCCGGCGGGGTCGAGAGGGGCTCAGAGGCGAGCCTCGCTGCGCCCCGTGCGCAGAAGGCACCTGTACATCACCCCGTGCCTGGCCAGGGCCATCCAGGACCCTGGCATGGCGTGGCGCGGCCCTCGGTCGACTACACGCAAGGAAGACCCTGGGTAAGCGTGACCTTTGGTACGCAGCTTTTGAGGGGCCGTGAGGGGACCAAGCACAAGCGCGCAAGACGCTACCGCCGCATCGCGTTCGGCGATCGGGGGACCCCAGTGGGCCCGCACCAAAGGTCACTCTGGCGAAGGGTCACGTAGTCTCAGGTCGGGCATGTCCCCCTACAGGCGGATCTGTGGAAGAACAATGATTTCAAAAAGTCAGAGAATGCTCGAAACTAGTAGAAATAACATCGTCCCCTGACAATGTTCTTACTAGCTTTGAATGTTCCTCCTGTAGAGGGACACGCCCGACTTAAACGTAGTCGACTCGGGCAGCGCGGCATGGCCGCGCGGCCACGGCGCTGCGCCGGCCCTCGGCGGCAGTGGCGCCTCGGCGGCGCAGCGCCTCGGCGGCGGCGGCGGCGCCGAGGCGATGCGCCAGCCCTCGGCGGCGGCGGCGCCTCGGCGGCGGCGCGGGGCGGGAGCCGCCCAGGAGGATCAGCGTGCGGCCGCTCGCGCGCCGCGCTGCGCCAGGCTCGCCGGCGAGGGCGCCGGAGGCGAGGGCGCCAGAGGAGAGGCCGCCCGCAGGGGCGTCCGCCGGCCGCTGGCGGAGGCCTGGGGATGCGAGGGCGGCACCTATGCACCGCACCATGTCTGACTGCCTACGAGACCACCCCAACCCAACCCGAAGACCCGAATTTCGGGTTGGGGGGGGTAAGGGTTCCACATGTGTTTTTCACATGTTTCCCGACCCCCCCCCCACTGGAAATCGAGGGTAAATCTGAGCCTTCGGGTTGGGTTGGGGCGGTTTGGTGGGTGGTGAATCTCTAGACTCCCTTCAGGCCCCATGCCAGCGCGGAGTGGTGCAGAATTCTTCGGTTCTGAGGAGCGAAGAGCTATGCACTGTACCACTCCAAGGTCGAGGATCGACGACGACTCGGGGGACGCCAACGCGGTGCAGTACATAAGTCGTCCGCGGAGGGGGGCACGAAGGACCTCTGGGGACGTGCGAGTTCCGCTGGAGATTGTGTTGCATTCTCCCTCTAGGTATCTCTGAAGGGGGGGCATTGGGGGGAGAGGGCCTGCGATCGCCAAGGCATGTTTGTGAGCACCAAAGCATGCATCTCAGCACCACATTATGCTTGTGAGCTCCGCGCCATGTTTGTGGGGGAACCGCCCACCCCGCGTACGTTTGGTACCGTTACTGGAATGAGGAGGGGAGGGCGACGGGGTCAGATCCCAACTGGACAATTCAGATCCCAACCAGCCAGGAAAAAAAAACAAAAACAAAAAAAAACGGTCCAGATCCCTCCCGCCAGACAAGTCTTCTTCAACGTTGCGATTGCCTGATCATCGTGCGCAGTTGGGACCTAGACCACTCCACCGCCCTATGATATTCGAGTTCTCAGTACTCCAGTACGGCCCCACATAGGTTTAAGGCGCTCCAAGACGGCAGCGCTACGAACGTATAAGAAGCGTGTGCGAAACCTTTACGCAGCGAATAACAACAGTATGGGGCACTAATGCGAAACCTATAAAGCACGCATACCAAGCGCATGTGAAACGTGTGCGAAACGTATGCGAAACGTATGCGAAACGCATACGGAACAGATACCCACAGCATATGAGACGTAGGTGACACGTTGATGAAGCCCTTACGAAACGGATGCGAAACGTGCATGGTTGTTACGTGAACTGCATCTGATACGCAGATGAAGCGTATACTATGCGTGTGATGTAAAACGAAAGCGATACGTATATGAAACGTGTATGGACCGCTGTGAAACCGATGTGAAACGTGCATGCTACGAAATGGAACGTACGGAGAAATGAAACGAAACTTATACGACATGTGTTCACGGCACGTACATGAAACGTATAGCTAACGTACTGAAGCGCGTATTGAACCGATATGGAAAGTGTACGGGACGGATACGAACATATACGAGACAGGGATCGGCACATCTCCTATTGAATTCCGGGTGGAAACGTAAACAGAATATGGAATAATCCTGCGAGAGGCTTGGATCGGCGCATCTCCGATTGATTCCTTATTCGACTTCTGCGGCAGGCTGGTGCCAGCGCATTTCTTGTGAATTCCCATTGAAGCACAATCGAACATAAAAGAAGTATGCGGGAGGCTGGCATCTTCGCAGCTCCCATCGGAGGCCGATTGGAACACGAAAAAGAAAGCATAATCCAGCGGGAAGCTGGGGCTGGCGCATTTCCGATTGAACCCTTAATGGGAAATAGAATCTCATAATTCATACTTTTGCTGGGGGCTTGGGTCGCCGCGTGTCAGATTCCAGGAATCCTCCAGGAAGAGTCCTCCGGAATCCCGCAAACATACCCGAGGAATCCTCCAGAATCGATCAGGAAGCCCCAGAGAAACCCACGGGAATCCTTCACGAAGCCGAAGATGCGCCTTCTAGGAAGCGCATATGAAGCGCCTGGGAGCTCAAAGTTGCTCGGCTGGGATCTGAACCGTTCCAGCTCTAGCACTCGTGGGGATCGTCTAGTTGGGATCTGAATCGCCCCGCTGGTATTGGAACCTCCCTCGGAGTGGAGGGAGGGGGGGGAGGCGAGGCACCATAGCGGACATTACGAGCTTTCCGAGATAACAGAAACAATGCCCAGGAAGCCCACCGGTGCACGTCAGGGCATGGCGCGGAGCCCGTAGCCGTAGCTCGGCTGCACGCAAGAGTGACCCTGGGTAAGAGTGACCTTTGGTGCGCAGCTCTTCGGGGTCCGCGGGGGGGCCAAACACAAGCGCACAAGCCGATGCTGTCGCATCGCGCTCGGTGGTCGGGGGACCCCAGTGGGCCCGCACCAAAGGTCACTCCGGCGAAAGGTCACTCTTACGTCTAGTCGATTAGCAAGGGAAATCGCTGGGGGAGACTTTGCTTCCTGCAGCTTCTGTCCGCCTTCCGCCGGCGGAGGCGGCCTCGTGTTCCTCAGCCTTTCGCCGGTCTTCGACCAGCATCCGCCGAGGAAGAAAAGCCAACTCCTTCGATCCTCGAAGGCGAGAACGTTTCTGGAGCGACCCAAGCCCGAAGGGTCAAGGGCGCAGTCTGGCGCGCAAAGCAGTCCTCGACAAAAAACGAAAAGCACGAAAAGCAATCGTCGACGGACACACCTCGATCCAGCAAAACCGAGGCGCACCGACGGGAGGGGACCCGCCATCCTCGACAACAGGCACGGTGCGAGCATTAGGGGGCACACTACGATTTGAAAAAAACGTGCTCACCGATGTTGTGGTGCGACAATAATCGATCTTCCAAGAAATAGCTCAACCACGAACAACAAAAAAAGCAAGTTCGCCCGATGCGCGACGGAAAAGGCCCATCGCTAGCTTACAATAATACGAAACATCAAAGACATACACTTACAGAGGTCGGGGCGGGTCTCTTGTGCCGGCGCTGGAGGCAGCGCCAGTCGCAACGCCCGCTCCGAAAGTTCATGCTCATGCCGAGCTGCTCAGGGCATCCAGATGTCAGGGTCTCCTATCTCATTGCATTGGCTTTGCAGACGTGCTGCAGCAAATTGCTGCATGAGATCTGCGTGGATTTTGCCCGAAACGGCGAGCGAAAAAACAAGTGAATTTTGCGTGGATTTTTTTTGGTCTTCATTCTTGGCCAAACAAATCCGCACGAAATTCACTCCGAAATCCCGAACGAAATTCTCCAGGACCCTCCAGGTCCACCCGATTGAAATCCGAACGAAATTCGCTCTGCGATGTTGGCGCCATGACCTCTCGCTCGCGCCTCAAGGAGAGGCGCCTCCTCTCGCTGCTAAGATCTCCGTCGTCTCCTCGCGTAATCTTAGATCGGGCATGTCCTGCTACAGGCGGATTTTGGACGAAAGATATATATATATATATATGTATAATTTTAAAAAAAAAAAAAAAAAAAAAAAAAAAAAAAAAAAAAAAAAAAAAAAAAAAAATGTTAAAAACCGTTCCCTGACTATGTTTGGACTATCTCTGAATACTCCTCGTGTAGAGGGCCAGGCCGGAATTGAGCGTAATCGCACCCACCTCACCCCACGCGCCTGCTCCGAGGGCGCTGGCACCGGCGGCAGTGGCGGGTTGGGCGCGGCGCCGCTGGGAGGTAGGGCGCAAACAAACCTACCTCGCTTTTGACCACCCTCGCTTCCAAGAGACACCAAGCGACGCCAAACTGCGGCCTGCGCTGGTCAGGCTGCTTGACGAGGAGGCGCGTGGTATGACTCGGTTTTGCCTGGAAGCGAAAGCGGGGTAGGTACTCCAGATTTCGTAATAAAGGGAGGGGGGTCTCATTTCGGGGGGGGTCTCTTCCAGGCTATCTTGGGGGGCCTGGGGGGGTCTGGGGACGATGTTTTGGAGGGTTCTCCCACGGGGGAGGGTCTGAAATGGCTTGTCTTGGAGGGTCCAGGCCCCCTCCCTTTTATTACGAAATCTGGAGCAATTCACGCTCTGAGGAGGACAAGGAGGAGGACGAGCAGGTGGGTGATGTTCTGTGGCTGCTTGCGCTCTTCGCCTTCTTGCACGGGTGCTCTGTGGGTGGTGCTCCACGGGGGGCGCTCTGCAGCAAGGGCCCTTCGCCGCGCGCACGCGCACGTCCGTGGCCCCGCTGCACAGCATGCTGCCGGTCTCGCCGAGTAAGTCGGCTCCCTGGCTTGTTCAGTACGTTCTCTTCCGTCCTCTCCTCCTCCTCCTCCTCCTCCTCCTCCTCCTCCTCCTCCTCCTCCTCCTCCTCCTCCTCGTCCTCCTTTACCCCACCTCACTCCATCATCCTCGCCCCCCCAGAATTCCCTTCGCACTGCTCAGGTTGCGCCACATACGCTTCTCTGAACCGTTTCTCTCGGAATGGCTCCCACACGTATTTGTGCTTATGCCCGATCGCCCATCCCGAAGATCAAAGAACCACATGCCGGCCGACCCTGGCGTCGAAACCCCTTCATCCCTGTCAAAGATATCACGCGGTGCACATGCGTTGACTTTCCGTGCCGCCAGACACTGGGTGGAGTGTCCTCAAGTCCC